TTCAGCTCCATGATCTTGTTTGTAGATTTGGTCAGGACCTTGACCCGGGCCTGTACATTTATGTTCTTAGGTTCTTTTTTCAGACCAAGAGTTTGTTTTCCTCCTGACAGTTTGGACTCTTCACTCGCGTCTTCCTCAGTCACGTCATGTTTCTGTCACGTCTCGATCAGCTGATTTAAACAGGTTTTGGAGAGTGAACAGTCGAAACTGTCAGGATGAAAACAAACTCTTGGTCTGAAAAAAGAATCTAATGATATAAATTATCAGAAGACAAATGAACTCATCGGATCGGCCGTTTACACTTTGTCCCTTTTTTGAGACGATTTTTCCCTCGTGCGACTGAGTTTTGTCTTAATCGTGCGTCGTGATTCGTGTTGTAAAAATGGGGTAACGAGAGCAGATGAATCCCTCTCGAGCAGCTCCTGATCGTCAATCACAGGTCGCAGGAAAATGAAAGTGAAAGTGAAACCATCGAAAACATCTCACAGCGACACGAGCGACGCGAGGATCAAACCTGGAACCTTCTTGCCGCCACAGTTAAATTTAAACAAAGAGACTCGTAAATTTATATAATTAACTTTATTTGAAGTTCGATATTTAGTATTGGCCCAGGATATTGTGAGACGTTTGACGATTCGATGTCGTGATTTTTGGATTATTGTTTCTGGTCACGACGGCATCAAAAAACCTGTTAAAGCCGAAGTTCTTTCATGTTTGTTTCTGATTCTTTCTGTCTGTGCTTCACAGTGTCGCCACAAACGCCGCCGTCCGCTTACAAAATCAAGGTAAGTGTGACTTTTGTTTTTCATTTAGATTTTAAAAATAAGTAGAAAAGCAGTAACGCCGCCTTAGTTGTGTTTTCCATAAATATTTGTCTCGTATCTTTCAGTTTGGAATTGAAAAGGATCCCACTGTCCATCCCTGGTCACATTTCATGTTTGTCAATAATTAACTGATTTGAAACAAATTTTTGCCCCATTTACAATTGAACTAAAATTTCAAATTCCAGAATAGATTTCCGGATCAGCCCAAAATGAAAAGTTCTTCCTTTTAATTTCCAACAAATGAAAATTTCATCAAATCGGTCCATAACTTTTTAAATAAATAAACAAATTCATTTTAAAGTCTGTGTTTTTGATACACAGAGTTTGTTTTAACTCTGAGCCGCTCAGTTTTTAACTCAAACCTGCAGACGACGAGTTCACAGCTGCTCAGTTTATCCAGTTTGTCGTCTTCACACCGGCTCCAGATGATTTAGGAAACATTTAAAAACTCTGTGAATCACTTCGAAAGCAGCTCGACTGTAAATCCCAAAGAAAAGAGGAAAAAGTCTGGACCTGCTGCTTTTATCATTTACACTCCAAATCTGGAATTGTTCAAAACTAAACTTAAAATCTGTTTTTATTAATGAGCGTTTGACTTATGTGAAAGATTCTCATCTGCGCTGAATCGACTCCGGTTCCTCTTCTGTCTCTGTTTTCTGTAAACAAACATCCTGAGTTTCAGACTCTGGTCATCGTACAGACCAGACTGTGAATGATCGTGTGAAAAAGTGAAAACCTCCATGTTTGTTTCCCAGTGACGCGTCTGTGGACAAAGTCGATCTTTTCAAGTCTTTTGAACCATTTCACTTTTGTTTCTGGTTCTGATATTGTCAGATTTTAGTTTTGGGATTCGGACGTCGTCATTGTTGTGGTTGTTGGATCCAAACTAGGGCAGGATTAGTCGATTAATCGATAATTGATCATTAAGAATTTCATGGATTCCGTTAATTTTAATGGACAAACTAAATGTATGTTGTGTGTGTCGGGACAAACAGGTGTGTACATGTGTCTCTGCATCAGAAGGAGCGAGACACAAACAGTGGGTCAGTCTGTAACGAACCGAAGCACAAATGTGGATTTAACCAGGATTTGTAGAAGAAATTCCACACTTTCCGTTGCGTTGGGACAAGTGTGAGTCCATGTGCACAGTGGATAAAGCAGCACATATGTTTCTGTGTCCAGTGGGAAAAAGTTTTTCCAGGTGAGAGTCGCTCAATGTGGATGACGAGGCCCCGCCCCCCTCCCCCCGTACGCTGTCCTGGTTTTGACAAACACAAATCTGGTCACACTGACCTGTATTCACCTGAGTCATGTCTTTTAATCCAACACAAGTTGAACCACATCAGCGACACAAGAGCTGGAGTTTTATCTTCACTTAGTTTATGTAAATTAGTGATGTGGTTTTAAGTTTTGTTTCTGTGAGATTTGAACAAAACTGAATTAAACACATTATAATGTCAAACAGCTGATGTGGATCTAGAGTCGTTATGTTTATATGTCGTAAAGTTGAATTTATTGATGCAGATTAGTGCAGATAGTAATAATAATGATGATCATTTTAATATAAAAATGTTCATGATTAATCAATAATCGATCGTTAATTCTTCCAACGATCGATTAAGAAAATTTCATCAAATGCCCGTCCCTAGTTCTAACAGTGGAAAACGACTCCAGAA